TACACGATACGAGCCGCGACATGCGAGCATAACCGATTTACACGCGATTTCCCCCGAGTGAAAAAAATCATCTGCGAGCTCGTAAAACAGCAAAAAATCGCACCGTGTACGCCCGCCTTAAGAGTGTATGAAGCTGGAAGAAATCATTTCTTTGTTTTGCAGCATTTATTCTAAATGATTTATCCGTGCACATCATCATTTTGTGTTCCTGTGATCTTGAATCAGAATAACTTCTTCTCTTCTCTGATGAGATTTTTTTCTGTTTTTATTTTGTTTCTTTCTCTTCTAAATATATACGTCACAATACGGAAGAAAAGACCAGCGCAACGTACGTTTCATGCCGACTAAATGTTTCACTTTCAAATACACTGATTAAGCATTATAAACAATAAAACAAGATGTGTGTTTTGATTAAAAACTTCCCTCTATAGAACTCAATTTAGCCAGTGTCGGATAAATCTGGTGCATTTTACATATTGTTATGTACTATTAATGTGTATGGTCCCTGATTAAATAAATAAATAAAGATTATAAAGCAATAAAACAAATTAAAACATTTCTGTTTGAGAAAAAAAAAACATATCTTTTAAAGTCACCAATTACATCATAATGGAGCCGAGAAGAAAAGGGTGCAATAGAGTAGAATAGATTTTTGATATATTTCAAGTTGGATATACAGTACATCCAACTTTATCCGCATACATTTGCATGATTGTATGTTTTATTTGCATCTTTATTTGCATGATTGTATGCTACCTTGGTCGGGTCTCTGTTGTAAAAGAGAATTTTGATCTCAATGAGATTCCTGGTAAAATAAAGGTAAAATAAAATAAATACATGCAGTTTTCTCATGTAACACACACAATATATAGGCCTATATGGCAAATAAATATCAACGGCTTGATTTTTTTTGTTGTTGTTGCCAAATTTAACTATATTCTCCCCCACACTGTAAAAATGAATCTAATCTAAAAAATCTAATAAAAAAAATGGTGGCAAAAGATTGCAAGCAATATTATTAATTAAATTGAACAAATTAAAATTCAGTAATAATTAATCAAATTAATTCCTTAAAAGTTAACCATTTAAAATGAGTAAAATGCACATTTATGTCACCATTATGGTGATCAGTGTGTTTTTTAGGTTTGCTATAAAATGAAGGTTTTCACACTGATCACCATAATGGTGACTTAAATGTGCATTTTACTCATTTTAAATGGTTCACTTTTAAGGAATAATTGGATTAATTATTGCTCAATTCTAACATGTTCAATTTAATTAATAATATTGCTTGTAATCTGTTGCCACGATTTTATTGATTAGATGAAGCATATTAACTTTTACAGTGCTAAACTGCTAAATGCAACTATGGAAATACTGAGATATCATAAACAATAACATCACCATTTTATGTAAAGCTGCTTTGAAATAATGTGCAATGTGAAAGTGCTATACATATGACATTAGCTCTACCAAAACCTTGAGATACACACTCATATTCCTCTGAATGGGAGCAAAGATGTGTTGAATGACTTGCCTTAAAGGGACTTTGGCTCTACCCTCCGTCTGCCCTCGTGCGATTGTTTTTAGGCTGAGACAAAGACCTCTTTCTTATGCCGTATCATACGTTCAAAGCTGCTCTGTGTTTACTCGTTGAACAAACTATGTATCCATTCATCCATCTGTCTCTCCTTCTCTCTGCGCTTTTAATCAGGTTTCATCTAGAAAGCGCATAGTAGGAAACCCAGAGTTGTCAGTATGGATGTAAAGAGATTATATGATTGCAACGCTAATCCAAAACAGCTTTTCCTATATGGAAATACATGGTATTTAAGGCACACACAGACAGAAATGCAGAATAAAAGACACACATTCAACATCTGCGAGCTTTGGCTCACATCTGGGCGCACACAGAGTGGAGTCCAGGTGCTCGAACGCTTACAATGCGGCTCTGATTCTCAGCGATGGCTAATAGACTCCATCTGGGAGTGAGATGGGAACACTTGTTAGCCGGTTTCCTTCTCGCTCCCTCCCTGTCTGGCACGACTCTCACGTTTAAACAGACTCGAGAACATGGATATTAACATGTGTGCGAGAAATATCACAACAGCACGTTCTTTGTGTGTTTGGGAGAGACACAGAGATCGCACAATACCAGTTTCCACCACTTGGTGACAGCATCACACAATACTGTCGGCAAACAGTCCAGTCACACTAAACCGCAGAACATCACTCTGCATGTGCTCTTTAAATAAATAATTCACCCCGCTATGAATCAACTCATCATCATGTCCTTCTGGCCCCATATTAGTTGCTTTCTTGACAGAGAACAATGAAGCAGAAACTGTTCATGTTCCATTAAAATCTAGAACACAATTCAACTTTCAATTTTGGCCTCGGCTGAACAAGTCATTTCGACTTAAATCATATTAAACTGACGCGAAAAATCGAGTTGAATCACGTGTGACTTTTATAAAAAAGTTGAAATCACATATTTTTATTGGTGAGGTAATGTAAAAACATGGCCGAAAGTGATGAACCTATATCGAAATAGGAGGAAAATATGTTTTAAATATGTTAAATATGAGAGAAGAATTTAGTTAAAGGAGTTCACTTTTTAAAAAAAAACGTTTGCTGATAATTTACTCGCCCCCATATCATTCAAGATATCCAAGTCTTTCTTTCTTCAGTCGAAAAGAAATGAAGGTTTTTGATGAAAACATTCCAGGATTTTTCTCCAAATAATAGACTTCAATGGGGTCCAAACGGTTCAAGGTCCAAATGAGAGTTTCAGTGCAAACTGCAAACTGTTGAAAGGGCTTTAAACGACACCAGACGATGAATAAGGGTCTTATCAAGCAAAACGATCACTCATTTAATAAATAAATAACAAAGTTTAAGTTTTATATGGTCGCCTTGCTCTGTTCTGTAATGCACGTTCGTGACTCTCCTGTTCGAACTTGTTTATCAAAATGAACAAATCTTTTTTCATGTCATTTAGTTCATTCAACGAACAAAGTTGACTTGGGAAAAGATTAGTTCATTTTGATGAACGAGTTCGAACATGAGTCACGAAAGCGCATCGCAGAACAGAGCAAGGCGAGCATTTGAGCTTATAAAACTTAAAGTTTGTTATTTATTTTTTTTAAATGAGCGATCGTTTCGCTTGATAAGACCCTTATTCATCGTCTGGAATCATTTAAAGCCCTTTGAACAGTTTGCAGTTTGCACTGAAACTCTCATTTGGACCTTGAACCGTTTGGACCCCATTGAAGTCCATTATATGGAGAAAAATCCTGGAATGTTTTCATCAAAAACCTTAATTTCTTTTCGACTGAAGAAAGAAAGACATGAGGATGAGTAAATTATCAGCAAAAGGTTTTTTTTGTTTTTTTTTTTTAAAGTGAACTACTCTTTTAAGGTATTTGTCTGACAAAATTACTTGGCAAAAAAAGGCAAACTACAGTACAGCTACAGGTTTATATATGTAAAAAAAGAAAAATAAATCAAAAGAAAGCATGCATCAGCTAGTGTTCGTTGCTTCTCTCGCTTTTTTCCCCGCATGTGTTCATCATTTCCGTGTATGACAGCCTGGACAAAAATTATGTCACACAATTTTCCGTATTTCATTACGTTATCACAAATAAAACAAAAGATTCCACACTCTAAACAATGCTGGGTTGTTTTAACCCAAAATTGGGTAAAATATTGACAAACCCAAATGCTGGGTTAAAAATGTCATTTAAAATGTTACTGTACATTTTTTAATTACATTTTTAACCCAACATTTGGGTTTGTCCATTTTTGACCCAAATTTGGGTTAAAACAACCCAGCTTTGTTTAGAGTGCATGCTCAATATTAATATTTTAATTAAAGTTTGAATCACTTTTGCTCACTACTGTATGGATCATGTCATGTTTTTCAGTGTGACCGAGCTTTCAACTCTTCAACGTTCTTGGGATTTAATATATTGCATTTTTAGTTGTTATCTCATTTGAGGGCAGTTTTTGAGTTATTAGCAATTCAAATCAATGCTTTCAATATAGCAAAGGGTGTTAGATATTCATGCAAAGTGCTAAAACATGTGTTCTCAGTCCAGATCCTGAAGCATTAGCAGCCACTATCTTTTATTATTACCATTTGTCTTCTGGCCTCATCATATATTTCTATAAAAACTAAATCAGATGTTAGACAGAATGTCCAAGCTGCTCTTTTTCAAACAACAAAAGCATGGTTATTAATACTGCAAAGCTCAAGAAGCACAAAAAAGCATCATAAAGTTATGACTGAAATGTGAAATTTAGGCCGTTATTGACTGAAAATCTTGATTCCGGTCCTTGATTCTGATTGGTTGAGCCATGCTTTCGGCGCCTACAAACATATACCCGTGATACATATTAAAATAATATTTTAAGGGACTAACTATTTTATAAAAGCATCATATAAGCCCTGCAAAACCTGTCATTTGTCATGTGTTTAATGCATTATACTTTCTAAAGAAAGTTGATCAGTGTTATAATGCATTATAACTGTGGTTATTAATTAATGCATTAAAAATACTTTAGTAGGCTAATATATAGTGTTTGCAAATTTTCTATCCACTGTAATTCAACTTAAATTATTATAATTCAAATTATTGTATTTTACTGTAATGCCTTAAATCTTTATGTATAATCAAATTGGCTGTTCAAGTCATTTCAACTCATTTTTTTGCCTAGTTGAACTTTTAAGTTGAAACTCGGTTTTGAAGTGGAAGTGATGGAAAAACATGTTGTCTTGACTTATTAATCATATTATTTTCAAAGTTGTTAGTTCATGTTAACTAATAAACGTTAACAAATGGATCGTTATCAAAATTTTTGAAAGGCCAACTTTTATTATGCTTTTCACAACAGAAGCTGTGACATTCGGCTAAACATCTCTTGTGCTTCACGAAAGGCAATAACATGTGTTGGAAAAAGTTTGGTGAACTTCCCGTTAAACGATGTTTATGGCTTACCTGGCGCTTTCAAACGTCGCTGATGGAGTTTTCCCGATGGCCCCAAAGCCTACGCCGACAGCCAAACCCTCTGAAAAACAGGACACACACACACACCTGGTCACTCTCAACTCTTTCAAACAGCAAGCTATGATGATCAGGAGAGAATTTAAACAAGAGATGAATAGTCTTCAAATGTCCTTTGTGTGAGATTCAACCCAATGGCAATGCAGAGGATGCTTTTTATCTGCCAAACTTCACCCAAAGCCATTTGTTCTTCGCTAACTGCAAAACGCAGATATAAAACAGAACAGCGTCCACATAACTGTCTAGTGTTGGGTCACTGTGGCTTAGAAACGAATCTGCAGCCCGTACTGAAGGTACTCCCTATTTTTTAAAAGAGCAAATAGCCATTAAAGGGAAAGTTCACCCAAAAATAAGATTTCTGGCATCATACAAGGGTTCCTACAGGTTTCTTCAAGTTAAATTAAAATAATAAGTCTTTTTAAGACCATGTCTATAAAAAATGAATACCTATTTCACGTCCCTACCAACTTGCGTTCATTTATTTTTCAAATGTGGAATGGATAAGCCAAGTAGATGTGAACAATAAAAACATTTCAGTACGCCACAAGAACAATGTTAAGTTGTTTTTTTTAATATTAGCTAGCTAATTATTGCATGCTGGGAATATGGGGAAGAGAGAGACCCCTGAACAATAAACATCAAAAATCATAATAATGGTGATTGAATTCGAGCTGAATTTGAAGCCATTGTAAAACACTTCAGTTCATAAAAATACGTTTTTTTTTTAGTTTGTTTTTGTTTTGTTTTTGTGATTGTTGCGGGTGAAAATCCTTGATTATGCATCCCTTATTCTTTAAAAATGTGATGGAATATGTGGGATACTTATGCAATTTTATGCGATGAAATTGCGGGAACTTGCAAAGACTGTGGTTTGATGAAAAAAGAGAAAAGTGATTCTCCAACACCCTGATCTCACTAGACTCCTGCCTTAATGTGAAGAGTCATTTCTTATTATTTATGATAAGCAAACATATACATCACAGACAGTGCTGGAATATTTCAGTTCTCATCTTGTTTATTTCAGACCTTAATAAACACATCAAACTTACAAAACAAGTTCTGTAGGTTTACAAAAGGAATATACAACTTCTGTAAAAATGAATAAATAAAATATAAACAAGTGTGCTCCTGTTTTACAGCTTTTCGATAATGTTCACGTCGCGTAATTACGTCACTTCATAACGTTCCAATGGCAACAGGTTACATCAATTTGTAATGTTCCCATGGCAACAGGTTACGTCACTTCGTAACGTTCCCATGGCAAAAGGTTACGCCACTTCATAACATTCCCATGGCAACAGGTAATGTCACTTCATAACGTTCCCATGGCAACAGATTATGTTACTTCGAAACGTTCCCATGGCAACGGGTTACATCACTTCATAATGTTCCCATGGCAACAGATTACGTCATTTCGAAACGTTCCCATGGCAACAGGTTACATCAATTCATAACGTTTCCATGGCAACAGGTTACGTCACTTCTTAAAATTCCCATGGCAACAGGTTACATCACTTCATAACGTTCCCATGGCAACAGGTTATGTCACTTCGTAACGTTCCCATGGCAATAGGTTACATCAATTCATAACGTTCCCTTGGCAACAGGTTACGTCACTTCGTAACGTTCCCATTGCAACAGGTTATGTCACTTCGTAACGTTCCCATGGCAACAGATTACTTCACTTAGTAACGGCAACAGGTTACGTCACTTCGTAACGTTCCCATGGCAACAGGTTACGTCACTTCGTAACGTTCCCATGGCAACAGGTTACGTCACTTCATAACGTTCCCATGGCAACAGGTTACGTCACTTTGTAAAGTTCCCATGGCAACAGGTTATGTCACTTCGTAATGTTCTCATGGCAACAGGTTACGTCACTTTGTAACGTTCCCATGGGAACAGGTTACGCTACTTCGTAACCTTCCCATGGCAACAGGTTGTCACTTCGTAATGTTCCCAAGGCAACAGGTTACGCCACTTCATAACGTTCCCATGGGAACAGGTTACGCAACTTCGTAACCTTCCCATGGCAACAGGTTGTCACTTCGTAATGTTCCCAAGGCAACAGGTTACGCCACTTCATAACGTTCCCATGGGAACAGGTTACGCAACTTCGTAACCTTCCCATGGCAACAGGTTACGTCACTTTGTAACGTTCCCATGGCAACAGGATACGTCACTTCGTAACGTTCCCATGGCAACAGGTTTATGTCACTTTATAACGTTCCCATGGCAACAGGGCAAAAAGGTGGCTCTCGTGTGAAGCAAACGCAATATTTTTCAATATTTTTCAAGATATATGTCTTTTTTGCAACGAAAATGCGAGGATTATGAAATCATGAAAGCCCTGCGTATTTTTTGCACGTAAATCTGCAATTTATGCAGCGAAAGTGCAGCGTATTTGAAAAAATGCCTAAATCATGTGATCACGTTTTTCTGGACGATGTTAGCTCAGGTCTTTTTTACTGACCTCTATATTAAATGTGTAATGTGAAATGATGCAGTTCATTTTCAATTTCCAAACGTGAATCCTGTTAACTCTCAATTCTCAATTTCATGTTCTCTGCATGGCACTGTTTCTCATCTGTGAAGCCAGTAGCGGATTTGTCTTGATCTCATAGATATCGTACTGGTGTTGGGCTTTAGATTTCAGATCCTTTTTCAGTCCAGAAGCACCTCAGCATCTGATAAGCTGACAACCAATCAAAGCCCCCATTCTTGAGTCCAATTCAATTTCACATGCTCCACTAGCGCTTCTGACTCCCTCATACACACCTCCGGTCAGATCAGTGTGTGTGTGTGTGTGTGTGTGGCGCATTTATGTTAATATGTTCATTCAAAGCCATCACTCAGACTAATCAGGTCAATCTTATCCTTAGCAAGGAAAATTCATTCTGGGCTCAGAGGAAATTAAGAATATGTAAATGCATTTGATATCAAATCAACATGGCATTAAATCAGATAAAAATCTGATGCAAAACACTTCTGCTGTGGTTAAAGTGACAAGTCAAAGTTGTCTTTCAAAATCTACAGCGTCTAAAAGGCAATATTTAAACATGTGGATCATCTTAAAGGCAAAGAGTTAAAGACCATGATGACATAAAACACACAAAATGTTTGAGGTCAGTCCATTTTTTTTAAAGAAATGAATACTTGCATTCAGCACGAACACATCAAATTGATCGAAAGTGACAGTAAAGACATTTATAATGTAACAAAAGATTTCTATTTCAAATAAATATTGTTCTTTGGAATTTTCTATTAATCGAAGTTTCCGCAAAAATCTGAAGCAGCAATACTGTTTTCAACATTGATAATCAGAAATGTTTCTTGGGCAGCAAATCAAATTTTTTATTAACATTTCAAATGTGTTTGTCATTTTTATTATATATATTATATGGTATTTATTATATATTATATACCATATATATTATATATACTTTATTTATTAGTTTTAGTTTAATTAGTTGTAGCTATTTTTGTAAGCTAAGCGAAGGTATGTGGCATTATTCTAATTGTTATTATTATTAATATTATTATTACGTGGCCTATTGTATCCGTTTCATTGGCGTTCTTATCGTTATTTTTTCGTTTCTTCTTCTTCTTTTTCCGCTCTTGAGTCTATGCAGCCCATAGAAATGTTTGCGGGAAAGTTATGAAATTTGGACAATCTAAACTGTCACCATAGCAGATTTGGTGTCTCTAAATCAATCCCTCTAGCGCCACCAACTGTATATATGATGCAATTTTGCCATTTAGAATTTTCCGGAAAACCTACTTTTTTAAAACTTTTTTTTAAACATTCAAAAATGTAATCAGATCATCTTCAGACCAGGCCGGCAAAAAGTTATGAAATTCTCAAATAATGCGCAAACGAAGTCTACCAAGAGCGTGCCAAAATGGACACAAAGCTATATCTCCGCAACGCTTTAGCAAATTATGACCAAACTTGGTGAGTGTTATGACAACCATGACCTGACGTTATCTGAGCAGTGTCACCTAGTGGTCAGGAGATATAAAAAATGGCTTAATAGTTGGGCCATAAATCACTTTCGGTGCAGCATGTCGAATCGAACGATATCGGCCAATTTGCGAGTCAGACATTTTGAATTTGGACGTAAAATGCAACATTTTACGAAATCATTGGTGTATGGTTAAAAAAACTGTGTCTTCGACACCATACCTCAAAAGTATCAGGGCAGCGCCACCTTGTGGTCAACAGTTATAATGATTTTCCATATATGCTAATATTGTTTTGGTTACATTAGCCTATTATAATGAAACTGGATTCCTTAGGAGATGTCGAGGACGTAGATACCAATTTTTCAAACTCCTCCTTGTCCGATATTCATCAGATCTGGGTCAGATCATCTTCAGACTGTGCCGACAAAAAGTTATAGATTTAATAAAAACGTTTTCAAACACCGCAGAAAGACATTTGGGGCGTGATGCCGAAATAACCCTGAGGTTGCATCTCTGCAACTCTTTGGCATATTGACACCAAACTTGCCACCTTACTCGGACCACGAAACATCACAATTTGGTCACAGCGCCACCTATTGGTCGAAACTGATAAACCATTAAATCAAATTAGTAGTGAATGTATTTTTTTATTTCAGCCATTTTGCCTAAAAATCATCTTAAAATGACTTTAATTACTGCTGTTGCAGTTGGTCTGATGCTTCCGGTCATGACTTGTGCCCGATAATTGCTGCTTGCATCTATAATTTCATACTTTTGATGAGACATTAGCCTATTTTTAATTCAATTTAAAAGCATGCCTTGATGATGATGTTTGTTTTGTTTTGGTGACTGCCCATGTTGTGAACTAAATATGTTTTTAAAGCCCAGAGGGATGTAAGCTAGGGGCGTTTGGCTTACGTATGACTGATTTGGAAGAGTCAGATGCATGAGAACTGTTCTCATTTGGAGTGAATACAACGCAAATGGATGGACCATTAGATGACTAAGGGACTGCTTCAACTTTGGAGATCATCCCTA